TCAAGATGATACTATGAGTGCTGATTTTTTAAAGGCAAAGATTTTGACTTGAAATACCACTACAAAATTAAGGGTCAGTAGTTGTACAATGCAGATTGCAAAGGAGAAGTTAAAATACGAATATTATAAAAATATATAGAAAATAGGGGCGCCTGGGTGGCTCACTCGTTAAGCATCTGCCTTAAGCTCAGGTCATGATCCCAGGGTCCTGGGATCGAGCCCCGCATCGGGCTCCCTGCTCCTCAGGAGGCCTGCTTCTCCCTCTGCCTGCTGCTCCCCCTGCTTGTGTTCCCTCTCTGGCTGTGTCTCTGTCAAATAAATAAATAAGATCTTTAAAAAAAAAAAACATGTAGAAAACAAATAGTGCGAAATGTCAGTTCTAAATCTTTTCTAGTACGAGGGACTCTGTAGTACCTCCCAGTGGAGCCCGTCGCTGCTCCCCCTCTGGAGCAAGCACGCACAGCGGGCTGGATCCCCAGGAGCTGCTGCAGGTGGGGAGGGGACGGGCGCCACGGTGTGGTGCAGGGGAGCTACTGCCGCCTATGGACACATCACCTCCTCTCTTCTTGGTCAGCCTCCCCTCTGCCTCTGAAAAATCAGGGTGATACACAACCTCCTGGAGTTGTCTGCTAGGGTATGGGAATCCCAGCCTGCTCCTTCACACAGAAGTTCCTGGGGGGCCCAACACTTAAGAACCTCGTGAAGCTCCAAGTTCTGTGTGGCAAGCCACCAAGTTAAATCCCAGATCTCCAGAGTTTCCAGGGCAGGAGGCAGAGACTGAAGAACAGCCCTGTGCGAGGTGATGATCCTGATCTTCTGGGCAGAGCTTACATTTTTTTTTTTTTTTTTTTAAGGTGCACTTTCTCTTAAGCTAAATTCCAAAGTCCTTTGTGAGTGTTAGTGATGTCAGAGGTATTGGCCAGCTTGGTGACTGCATGATGCAGGCGTTATTCCATTACATACACTAATATCCCAAGAGACCGCTTCAGATCAGAGGGCAGAGAAAAAAGATTCACCAGTTTCTCTGAGAGGGTCCATAAGATCCCAGTAAGCACATCTGTGCTACTATGTGAAGATCAGTCTCAAATCAGGTAATTATAACGTATGAACATATTTAGAAATCCTGTCATGTGAATGGATTTTGAAAGCATTTGGGTAGAAAGAAAAAAAGGAGATGTGAGATCCTAAAATATGAGCCAGGGATCATTGGAGGGAAACATTTCATGTGGAACTATTCATGTCCGTCCTGCCACTGATTCAACCATGGGAAAGGCCTGTGGCCCATATCCCTAAGGCAGGAGAGCTGACATCCATACAATACATACGAAGTGGTATTCTAGGCACTGTGCTAGGAACTAAGGGTAAACAAGTGAATCAAATCAATCATCCTTACCTTCACAGAGCTTTCAGTCTAGTGGAGGAAAAGTAAAATGATTAAATGCTAAGATCGAAAAGTACGGACAGATATCAGAGGGCATAAAACAGGAAGGCAGGTGTCAGGTAAGACAACCTTGAGTCAGTTACCTAGGTGGAATTAACAAGGTGAAGGGCAGAGAGGAGAAAGAACAGAATGTGCAAAGGTCCTGAGGCAAAAGGAAGCCTGGAATTTTGGTCAGAGTTCATAAAGCATTGGTAGTGGGGGTGGGGGGAGTAAGGCAGTGGAGTGAAAGAGAGAGGTCAAATCAGGTTAAGTCACTGTAGGATTTTTAATCTTTCCAAATGGCACTGAAAAGTCACTGAAGGATTTTAACCTTATAGAGCCATGATCTTGTCTTCAGTCATTTCAGGGGTACAGTAATAGGTGGTGTTACCACTTTCTGGGGGTGAGCTCCTAGTCATAGGGCCCTTTGAAAAATGGCTCAGCCAAGTCCTCGTCAACATGAGGGGTGTAGCTTAATTCTTTCTTATTTGCTTTAGGGGAAAGATGAGAAGACTGTTTTTAAAACTAAGTCCTTCATCTTCCACTTATACAAAAGAACACTTTTCTAAATATAAGAAAAGTTGCTAATCTTTAAAAACAATAATATAGATTTATAAAAGTAAAGTGATACTACAGTCTATAATTTCTACAGTTATTCTGGGCAGTAAGATCCCAGAAATGTAGATTTGTCATTCATCTTCTTGTTTATGATGCACAATCTTCCTTTTTATAAACATTTTTTTAGGGGCGCCTGGGTGGCTCAGTCGGTTAAGCATCTGCCTTCAGCTCAGGTCATAATCCCAGGGTCCTGGGATTGAGCCCCGCATCAGGCTCCCTGCTCGGCGGGAAGCCTGCTTCTCCCTCTCCCACTCCCCCTGCTTGTGTTCCCTCTCTTGCTCTCTGTCAAAAAATAAATAAAATCTTTAAAAAATATATATATTTTTAAGATTCATTTATTTCAGAGATGGAGGGGGAGAGAGAGAGAGAGAGAGCGCAAGAGCACTTGGCGGGGGGGGGGGGTAGACAACAAGAATCTAAAGCTGACTCTGCACTGAGCCTGATACAGGGCTCAACCTCATGACTCTGAGATCACCACCCAAGCTGAAACCAAGAGTCAGATGCCCACCCAACTGTGCCACCCAGACACTCCTGATGCATAATAATTCTTTTTTTTTTTTAAAGATTTTATTTATTTATTTGACAGAGAGAATGAGATAGAGAGAGAGAGCATGAGATAGAGAGAGGAGGGTCAGAGGGAGAAGCAGACTCCCTGCCGAGCAGGGAGCCTAATGCAGGACTTGATCCCGGGACTCCAGGATCATGACCTGAGCCAAAGGCAGTCACTTAACCAACTGAGCCACCCAGGCACCCGATGCATAATAATTCTTAAAAGCATTATGTGACTCAAACTCCTAGAAATTATTGTCTGAATGTGCCCTTGCCCTACTATTATTTCACCAAGCTTGTAGAACTGGCCTGATTTGCTTATTGCAAATAAAACTTTATTCTGCTATGGCATTTTTTTGGGACAATCTCTAAATTACCCTCCACTGTTATATTTAAAAGCACTTGAGAAAATAGCCTGCCACTTATGGGAAACTGGTCCCCAACCAGAGGGTGGGCTGAAACCAGTGTCAGCATGGATAAGCTGATTTAAATTCCTTCTACACTCTTATTTGACTTGTAAACTTGGACACATCTGTTTGCTTGTTTGTTTTTAAACATCTCTGCATCTACAACTCTTTGCTGAAAAAATGGGTACAAGAATGTTTCTCTCTTTGGGGCTTTGTGATAATTGACCAAAAATACAGATAAAGTGCCTTGCATGGAACTTCCTATGTAGAGCTACACAATTTTATAAAGTTATTATTTGCTGCTCCTTCAGGGGAATACGAAGCACATACCTTTAAATGAAGATTTCCCGTGAATTTAGGTAGGGAAGCAGATTTTTGGATGGCTCAATGATTCTTTTTAAGAAGATAGGACATCCGTAGATTCAGTTTTGTTGTATTTTGAAATCTAATGCTTTATAAAATATTGACTGAAGTACTCTGTCTCTTCCTAGAATCCTTTCATTTTGTTCTGGACTTGTCCCTGCATTACATTCAAAGTCTGAAGATGACTGTTCCTTATATGCACCTATTCAGGTGGAAAGTGGTTGGTTTTTTTTTTTTCTTTCTTTCCTTTCCTTTTCTTTTCTTTCTTTTCTTTTCTTTTCTCGTTTTTCTTTCTTTCTTTCTTTCTTTCTTCCTTTCTTTCTTCTTTCTTTCTTTTCTTACTTTCTTTCTCTTCTTTCTCTTCTTTCTTTCTTCCTTCCTTCCTTTCTTTTTTTTTCTTTTTCTTGTGTCCTCTACTGACATCTCATGGATTTCCTACGTCAGAACTTTGAAAAAAGAAATCTGTTTGAAATTTTGAAACGCGAGTGCTTAATAGTAGCAGTCATGTTTTGACATTCAAAAAACTTGAAAGAAGAGAAGGATTTTATTTCCTAAATATAGAAGGGAAAATTGTTTCAATTATTTGAGTGACGACTAGTCTGCTTTTACAAAGTTCATCTTCTGGTGATAAAGATGTTGGGCCAAGAAGACTGCAACCAGTGAAGTGTAAGACTCCCTTGTAAGAAGGCTGCGCTCCGAATGCGGGGGTGGGGTGGGGGGAGCTGTTAGCGCTGGAAGCCCTTCCAGATCCAGAAGGAGATTCGCGCTCCCTTTCCTTTCCTTACCACAACCCGTCCTGTAATTAGCGGAGCAAGTCAATCTCAGCTAGGCAAATCACTGGCTTTTGACGAAATAATTATATTTCTGTTGCTCTCGGACGTGTGCACCTCTAAGCCTGAAAAACAGAGAGAGATGTTTTTCTTTTTCGTGACCGGGGGCAGGGAGAAAAAAGGGGAAGCGACGGGGGTACAGGGAGCGAGACCAGGACAAGGTGGAGGGAGAGAGGAAAGGATTCCGTGGGAGCGTGGGAACACGGAGTCCCGCACGGGCAGTTTCAGCAGGCAGACACAATGCCCCGTACAGTACGCGATTTGATAACCCCAAGGGGAACAAAACGAGGCTTTTCTCAAGTTTCTGTACCCTCCACAGAGCTCCACAGTGTGTCCCGGCCTCCGCAGCTCCCGGGCCCGGCCGGTAGCTCCCCCACCCCCGCGGGGCCCAGCTTCCCTTCCCGACCCCGAGCCGGCGGCGCCTCCCCGCGTGCCCAGCACACCCCGCGTCCCCTCGTAGGAGCCTGCGGGGGAAAGGGCGCGACGCGTGGGTCGCGCCGGCCCCTTCGCTGGAGGGACGCCCGACGCTGCCTCCGGGGCGGGGACAGCTCCGGCCACCTTGCGCGATTCCGCCCAGAGCTGGCTGGTTCCGGGGGTGGGGGGTCTGGGCGCGCGGCGCTGGCGAGAGGGGAGCGCGGCCCCGCGTCGCCCGCGGGCTCGGGCAGGTGCGCGGCGTGTCGGCCCGCTGTGCGCGTCCTCCCGCCCCGCGGCCCGGGCGCCGCGCCCGCCCCGCCCCCGCCCCCGCCCGCGGGCCGCCCGGGGCAGGGCCTGCGGCTGCGGCCCGCGAGCGGCGCACGGGGCATGGGCCGGCGGTCGGCGGCGGAGGGCGGCTGAGGGTGCGCGCCCGGCCAGGCGGTGTGCCCGTTCGCAGCGGGGACCGAGCCGTCGGCTGCAGAGACCCGGCCCCGCGGCGGGCGGCGGGCCGCGGGCGGCGGATCTCGGCTCCGCACTGTGCGCGGCCGAGCGGGCGGCGCTGCCCGGGAGCGATGCGCTGAGCGCACGGAGGGCCGAGCGCGGGGCTCGCAGGCGGCGCGGGGAGTCGACCCCATGGAGCTCGCGGGCACCGGGCGGAGCCTGCGGGCGCCGCCGCCGCCGCTGCTGCTGCTGCTGCTCCTGCAGGTGGCCGGGCCGGCGGGCACCCTGGCTGAGACCCTGCTGGACGCGTCGAGGGCCATGGGCGCCAGCTCCAGCCCGCCCAGCCCCGCGAGCGTGGTGGCTCCCGGAACGACGCCGTTCGAGGAGAGTCGCCTGCCAGTGTTCACCCTGGATTACCCCCACGTGCAGATCCCCTTCGAGATCACCCTGTGGATCCTGCTGGCCTCCCTGGCTAAGATAGGTGAGCGAGCTGGACCCAGCAGCTGGGATGAGGGCGATCGGGTGGGGAAGCGCGGGTGGGCATCTGAGTCGAAAGGGACCCGGGGAGGAACGTTTTCATGCTTTGGTTCTTAAGTGGACGTTGGCCTTGAAATAGCCCCAAACTCTTAGCCCAGACGAAGTCACCGACGTGCTGCTTACTTTTACCTCAGACGCCAAGTGGTACAGCCCTCTGCCAAAGCAGAGACCTGTTTACTGAGGGAGGAGGCAAGTGGGCTGAGGTTTATTCCTATCTGTCATGGGGAGAGAGGCGCAGGCTAGCACAGAGGCTAAAACGGTTAAAGCCCTAGATGCTCCGAGGAGAGGAGGCGCCTTGGCCAAGACACAGACCCTGCCATGCACCTGCCTAATGAAGTGCCTGGGAGGGGACCAGGGACAACTGAGCGCTTGCAGCTGGGACAGGAACACCCTGTCTCCTCCCTCCTTTGGGCTGAGGCTGTCACTCTCCAGGAAGCTTTTTCTTAGGCCACTGAGCCTAGTGAAGTGAGATGCATATGTAAAGATCATTAACCCATTTTTCAAACTCTCTCTTTAACTCTCATTTGGAAAGCCGAAGCTCAGAATGTATTTTCTCACCTTCATTCCCCATCCCCCCCCACATAAACTTTTGTTGTGATCATGGGGGCTTTACATTATTTTAACTTTATATTTTAAGTACTTTTTTTTATTTTGAAATATGTCAACTACTGTTGTTGTAAAGATTCAAAGAAGTTATTAGGTCAAAAGAATGTTTGCATTATTGCATACGTCTTCAACATTTGTCCTGGGAAGGATCCTGTGCTGTACGATGAGGCAAGTCTCCATAAAGGATGAAGACGCCTTGCCCGTCAGCCTCCAGCTTATTGATTGGTGGGAGAGGTGCCACACACACCAGTGACCGTAATACGGGAAAGTGCTAAGTAGTGTGACAAACTCCAAAAAGATAATATGGCAGTGTAGGGAGGCAGAAATCACTTCCTCATGCAAAGGAAGCATTTAAATGGGGTTTTCAAGGAAGACCAGGATATGGTCAGTTGGAGATGAAAGGGAACAACGTTCTAGACAGGCATAAATAGAGACATAAATTGAGGGCAAACACAAAGCAGTCCGAAGAGATGGGTTTCTACGAGGGTGGAAGTTGGGGTAGGTGAGCCTGATGTCAGATGAAATTAATTAGATTCTATTAATGATGACAAAAGGGGGCACATGCTGTTTAATGACTTCGCAGTCTGCGATTGCCTGGCTTTGACATGGTTGTACTAGTTGCGTGTTTTAATTCCACCTGAGAAATGGAAGCAGAGGAAATGGATTTCCCTATCTATCAAGTAGGTATGTGCATTTGCATAAATTCATTGCCCGTAATAATAAACTCAGGTGCTAACTCCTCACAACAACCCTGCCATGTGGGAAGGACAGATATTAATACCCCCCCCCCCCCAACACACACACACACACTGGGTAGAGGCGGAAACTGAAATTCCAGAGAGTTGACATGAGTTGCTCACAGACACACCAAGTGGGGAGCCAAATGCAGGCTCCGTTGACTCACTCTCTCTCCCAGCCTCCATCACAGGCCTGGTGCTTTTGGGCCCTGTTTCCATTACTGCTTCTTGGTTGCCATTTCTATTCAATTACAACATTTTGTTTTGTTCTTCACTCCTGATTATTTTAATCTAATTAATTACACTAATAACAGCCGCTGGTAGGCACTTAAGTTCATTATCTCTAATTTTCACAACCATCCTGGGTAGGTATGATTACCCCGTTTCCTATACGGCGAAGCAGAAGTGGGGAGGTTACCTTGCTGGTGGGTGGGGAGCCAGAATTCCACCCAGGTCTGTCTGATGTCTCATCTTCGTGGCTATCCTGGAGGCTTGTTTTCTCAGGAGGATTAAATGAGACTACCTATGTTTAACATTCTTAGAAAATCCTGGGCATGGAATGAGTGCTGACTACTGTCATCATTAGTAGGAGTGGAAAAGGAGTCACGGTATCCTCACTCGGTTCTCCGGTACTGTCTCCCCTTTTCCACTGGGCTGGGCTACCTCCTGCCTTTCTCTGTTTCTGTTTTAGGCTCAGCCTTTTCCAAGTGCTCTTATTTGCGTGGGTTGCTTTTTCATACTTGTTCTTTTTCCATCATGATCCATTCATCTTGTTGGGCCTTACTCTGTTAATTGTGTGGCATTTTATTAAAATGCTTGTCTGAGGTCGTAGGTGTATTGATTTGCCCATGGGCAGTACTTTTTTTTTTTTTTTTTTATCCAGATGTATTTCTATCCCCTGGTACTTGCTGTTCTCCCAGTCTTTCAGGCCTTCCCCCCCACCCTTCCCCCAGTTCTCAACTTCACTGGCTACTATCTCCTCTTTCTCTTCTGCATCTGGGGTGGCACAGAGATGAAAATACAGACAGGTGTTCATGTCTCCCAACCAGAAGGGTCTGAGCAGAGAGAGACCTGAGTAGAGACTGCCATGGGTGGGGTGAAGGATATAGTTCCGAGAGCAGAAAGTGCAGTTTTAGAGTCCTAAAAGCTAGTCCTTGGGGTCTTTCCTAGGTTCTTCCTGTATATAGTTCAACCCTGTCCTCCTGTTGCAGCTCTGTCTGTCCTTAGATGAGCCTGGAAATGCCCAGATACCCCCCATCGTCTCCCCCAGGCCCTAAACTTTCTGTGGGCTTTGGGGAAGACTGTCCTTGTATTGAGGGATGCCTTTCCAGCCCATTCAGCAGTCTCTAGTCATTCAAATTCTATTTTAACTTTTGCACTGGAAAAACTGTTATTTGGGGGTGACTTAGATGACTTAATTTGCTCATACGTGGGGCAGGATGATGAATTGAGCTGTGCAGGGGACTTGAGGTGATGAGATAACAGATGTGTTAACTCATGCGAAATGCCACGGTTTCTATTTGGGGTACTTTTATGCCGTGAACCCAGTGTGCCTGAACTTAACCTGCTGCAGAGAACATGGAGACACATTGCTAGTGATTAATCTAAACAAAGATAATAGGTTGCCCCGAATGGAGGCTCCTAATCACATCTGTAGGAGGTTTCAATCATGCCGGATGGTGAATTCAGCATAGTTTGCTAGATTGCAGCACAATATAATCTTAGAAATATTGCAGTAAGAAGTGCGCAAGTGCATTTTTGGCAGAGTGTTGAATGATTCAAATTTTCATTGTTTTTACCTGATTATCAGGGAAACTCAATTTCTGAATTATTTGGTTAAAAAGAACGTTCTATAGTCATGATGATGATGTGAATGCATATGTAAAGTAGGTTAAATAAATAAAAGAACATAGAATTTAGTACAACTTCGAATAGTTTTTAAAATTTTGGCAAGAAACATTTCCCAGTTTGTTTTTCACTTAGATCCTTACACAGGTGAAGTTGTATTGTTCTTTATTTTGAATGCTTATATTTTGAATAACTGTTGATTTTTTTAACAGCTATAAATGCACACCTTGCTTGGTAAATCCTATACACAGGGATGGAGTGCTGTAGCTTAGAATAATAGGTAGCCAAAGAATTAAGAAGAGAAAAATTTCCTGGAGTGGTCTAAGATGGTCTTCTCTGCTTTCCTTGCCCATGAAGTGGATCAGTGGGCTTTGCCCTAAACTGGGTGAACTTGGGCATGTGTTCTACCTCTCTTTGAAGTCCAGGAACAGAGCACTGGGTCTCTACTCTGTAAAGCAACAGAACTCCCTTCTTTGTCCTCAGTGGTTTCCCAGATGTCCCCTCACTTATCTTGTAGTCTTGAGCTGGCCTGTTTGCCTCTTCCAGGTGTCACCACGCATCCTGACCTTTTCATTTCCTTTACCCTTAAACTTGGGGTTAGGATGCAGAATTTTCCACTTTCCTCCACCCTGTTGTCTTTTTTTTTTTTTAAAGATTTTATTTATTTATTCATGAGAGATAGAGAGAGAGAGAGGCAGAGGCAGAGGGAGAAGCAGGCTCCCCGCGGAGCAGGGAGCCCGATGCGGGACTCGATCCCAGGACCCTGGGATTGTGACCTGAGCTGAAGGCAGATGCTTAACCTACTGAGCCACCCAGGCGTCCCACACCCTGTTGTCTTGACATTAAATAACTTGTTTGTAGTATTGTTTTAAGGAAAAGGCAAAGCAATTTGGTCCATGAAGGTTTCTCCTCTGGGCTCCAGTCTGTCCTGATTTGAAATATGAAACCAGATAGTTTCTTCAGTTGATATCTATCTGTATTACCTGAGATCTCGATCTCTTAGAAAAACCTACCCTTGCCCTTGATCTGTTTCTCTTTGTTGTATTCGGTGTTCTTGAAGCATATACAGCAGCTGGTTGGTCAGGGGATGAAGCACATGATCTTCACCTGTTTGTGAATCACATCTCACTTTGAACACACTTCTGAAGCTAAGTCTTCCTCATGGCATGTGTTTGTTTTTAAGCTAAAAGAAGAGTTTTGATCCTTTTTGTCTCTAAGTTTCCATCTTTTCCCTTTGGGCTAAACAAAGGATGAAGGATGGCTGCAATAGCTTTCTTATATTCTTTATAAAGATCATTTTAGGTGTCTTCTAGAATTTTATCACTCTAACAGAGAAATATTTTCTTATCTTTTAAAAGAATAACAGGTAATTTTTCACCAAAAATGTTACTCTCTGTATCAGCTTCCACAATGACAGTAATTATCATTAATGGGATACTTTTTTATTTTTTTTACGGAATTCTTTCACATAAGAAGCCCTAAAATTATCAAAGGACTTTTTGTATAAATGTGTTTGTTCCTTGTAGGGTTGTAAAAACTCACCTGTAAAACCAAGTGAATTTGTTGATTTGTATGTGGATAGATTTTCATCAGTGATTCAATTGCTTTTTAAAGTTTACAGTTCTATTTGGCGTATCTATTTCTTCTTCGGTCAGTTTTAGTACTTGTGTTTTTATTTTTCTGGAAAATCATCATTTCATTTGAGTTTTTACATTTATGGGAAGGAAGTTATTTTCTATTTAAAAATACCTAC